TTACAGGTCTCTAGAAGCTTTGCACAAACTAAAAACCCACTAAAAACCAACTTTAGCTTTTCATTGATTGCCAGATAAAAATTGACATGCGGAACAAATTTACTTTACACAAAGTACAAGATATGGGTCTAACACTTAGAGAATTTTATATCGAATTAATGAATCAATCAATGAATCATGACACAATATGAAAATTAAATTATGATATATAATAAAATTATCCCAATACATGTGTGTGAAATGTTGATTCTATTTTTATTGGCTGAGATTAGGAAGAGTAAGGAAATGACATCCAATTCATTCAAAATTATCATATAAATCAATTGGATGGTACGCTTAGCTATGTTCAAGGTTCAAAATATCGATACACCTGATATGCTAGTAGGGGTGTATCGGGCAAATCGATACTGTTTTTTTTTTTTTACTTTTTTTCTAAAATTGGTTCGAGGGCCGTTTTAGGGCTCCTCCACCCCCTGAACTGGTCAGACCCCCGATACACCCATTATATGGGCCGATATGTGTCGATACTTTGAACCTTGGCTATGTTAGGTTTGGAGGAAAAGGTAGGGAAAGATAGGGAAACCAATACTAGGGTTGTAAAGGTTTTCTTACCTTTCCTTACATTTTCCTTCAAACCAAATATAGCTTTGATGTTTCCATCAAATTCATCCAATTGTACCAAAAAGGAAACAAATTCATTCAAAATCATCATATAAGCCACTGAAACAATGAATTGAAAACTTTTATTTTTATTTTTATTTAAGGGTAAATTGCTGAAACCTTCCTTGAAGTTTCTGACTGTTTCCGAATCCTCCTTAAAGTTTGGCAATTTAAATCGCCTCTGAACTTTTTTATACAATTGCAAGTAGATCCCCTCTATTARAATGTTCTAAAAATGGGCACAAAAATATTAAAACAACCCATGCAATTATTATTGAGGCTGCTCTCTACAGAAGAAGAAAACAATAAAAGCTTATAAACAAAAAGAAAATAGAGAATTTAAAATTGCAGCTTTACATTTGAGGATCAATATGAAGGGGAATTGAAAAATTAATCAATTTCAAGAAAGAGGTTGGAAGGGCTTGAACTAGTCATTCATATGAAGAGAAAATTAGAAAATAAACATTTTGRTCAAAAGTAGCTGTAAGGGTATTTGGACATTTTTATGCCTCTTTTAAAAGACTTTAACAAAAAGGGTCTACTTGCAATTATATCAAAAAATTCAGAGAAGATGATAATAATTATCAAAACTTTAAGAGATATTTCAGCAACAATCAAAAACTTCACGGAGGTTTCAGCAATTCACCCTTTATTTAATATTACACAATGGYCACCTTAAAAGTTAAAACAACTGGTACATGGTAGCACTTTATGTGAATCTCCCGACGAAGGTGCTTACCCAGTAAGTTCAT